ATGTTAGGTATATGCTTAGTTTTATAATAAACTCTCCAAAGCAATTGTATCATTATACTCCTAAAACAATGTATTAAGAATTTCAGTTGCTCTCCATCCTGGTCAATATTTGATATTGTCAGGCTTTAAAAAATTAGCTCTTCTGGTGGGAATATAGAGGTAGCTCGTTGTAATTTGTATTTACCCAATGACAGAATGTTGAGCTCCTTTTATATGTGTGTTAAAAAAGAAGATATATCTTTTTTTTTAAAGTGTCTATTCAAATCTTTTACCCATTTAAAAATTGAATTGTCTCTTTATTATTGAGTTGTAGGTGTTTTTTATATATCTTGGATGTTTATTTGTGTTAGATATATGTTTTGTGCATAACTTCTCCCAGTTTGTGATTTGTCTATTCATTTACTTAATGTTATTTTTGATGAGCAGATGTTTTTTTACATTTTAATGAATTTTTATGGTTATTACTTGCTGTGTCTAAGAATCCTTTGCCTGCTCTAAATAATAAAGATATTCTCCTGTGTTTTCTTCTGAAAGCTTTATGAGTTTAGCATTTATGTGATGTTTGATGTTTGATTTACTTTGAATTAATTTTCATGTATAGTGTGAGACACAGATCAAGGTTAAGTTTTAAGAAATGGATATATATTTGTTCCACCACCATTTGTTGAAAAGACTTTCCTTTACCCGTTAATGACTTTGTTGAAAACAAATGACGGTATTAAGTATAGGTCTTTTTCTACACTAGCTATTCTGTTCCATTGATCTATTTGATGAATCTTACGACAGTACTGTACTGTCACAGTTACTGGAGCTTTATAGAGTAAGTCTTGATTTCAGGTCTTATAAGTGCTTTAGCTTTTTTTGGTAGTTTCCAAGATTGCTTTGGATGTTCTAGGCTCTTTGCAGTACCATATGCATTTTAGAATCAGCTTCTCAATTTACACACAAAAAAAATGCCTGCTGGAATTTGGTTGAGATTGTATTGTTTCTTTAGAGCAATATAGGGAGAATTGACAGTTTAACGATATTGAACCTTCCGATCTGTGAACATAGTATATAGGCATACCTTGTTTTACTATGCTTCACTTTACTGTGCCTTGCAGATATTGTGTTTTTTACATATTGAAGGTTTGTGGCAACCCTGAGTTGAGCAAGTCTATTGGCACCATTTTTCCAACAGTATTTGTTCACTTCATGTCTCTGACACAATTTGGTAGTTCTTGCAATATTTCAGACATTTTCATTTTTTATTATATTTGTTATGGTGATCTGTGATCAATGATCTTTTTTAAAATTGAGGTATGATTTATACAATATTATATTGGTTTCAGATATACAGCATAGTGATTCAATATTTTTACAGATTGTACTCCATTAAAAGTTACTACAAGAAATGACTGTAATTCCCTGTGCTATACAATATATCCTTGTTGCTTATCTATTTTATGCACAGTAGTTTGTATGTCTTAGTCCCATACCCCTAATTTGCCTGTCCCCTTTGGTAACCACTAGTTTATTTTCTGTATGTGATCAGTGATCTTTGATGTTATCACTATAACTTGCTGAAGGCTTGGGTGATGGTTAGCATTATTTTAAAATTAAGGTATATATAATGCATTGTTTTCTCAGACATAATGATATTGCATACTTAATAGACTACAGTATAGAGTAAATATAACTTTCATATGCACTGGGAAACCAAAAAATTCGTGTGACTCACTTTATTGTAGTATTTACTTTTTTGCAGTGGTCTGGAACCAAACCCACAATATCTCCGAGGTGTGCCTCTGTCTCTACTTATTTAGGTCTTCTTTAATTCTTTTTAAAGCAACCTTTTGTAGTTTTCAGTGTCTTTCGTTAAGAATTTTTGAGTCGATGTTCATGAGGTATGTAATCTGTAATTGTCTTTTCTTATAATCAGTTAGATTTTGTGATTAAGATCATGTTGCCCTCTTAAAATGTGTTGGGAAGTATTATTTTTATTTTCTTAAAGAATTTTTATAAGATTGGTGTTACTCTTAAATGTTTGCCAGACTTCACCAGTGAAATAGTCTGGCCCGGTACTTTTCTTTGTGGGAAAAGTTTTGATAAATTCAGTTTCTTTAATAGAGATAGAGCTAGTTGAGATTTTCTGCTCAACTTTGTGTTTCATTAAGTTGTATTTTTCAAAGAATTTGTTTCATGTAAAATGTTAAATTTGGTGTAAAGTTGTTCGTATATCTTCCTATTTAGAAAAAGACTTTAGTATCTGAAATGATGTCCCCTATTTCATTCCTGATATTGGTAATTTCCATCTGTTTTTCTTGATCAGCCCTGCTACTAGGTTTTTCAATTTTGCTGCTTTTCAGAAATCCAGTGTTTGACTTTGTTGATTTTATCCATTTTGGATTTGTTTTCTGCTTCACTCATTTTTACTCTTTACTGTTTCTTTCCATTTACTTCCTTTGGATTTGGTTTGCTGTTAGTTTTTGAACTTCTTGAGATAGAAGTTTAGCTATTGATTTTGACCCTTCTGTTCTAATACTGCATTTAAGGTATACATTTATTTATAAGCATTGCTTTAGTAACATCCCATATGTTTCCCTAAGTCATTTTTTCATTATCATTCATTGCAAATTTTTAAAAATTTCCATTGTGATTTATTTATGTTTTTTGACTCATGGGTTATTTAGAAGTGCATCACTTAATTTTCAAGCAGTAGGGGATTTTCTCAATTTTTAAAAATTATTCACTTGTAATAATTTGCGTTGTAGTCAGAGAACTAAAGAGTTCAGTGCTTTGAAATTTATTGAGACTTGCTTTATAACCCAGCATATGGTCCATTTTGGTATATGTTTTGTGTATAGTTTGTGTATTCTCTTTTTATTTGGAAGAGCGTACTATACATATACCTTGTAAGTCTAGTTGGTTAATTATGTAGTTCAAATCGTCTATCAATATATCTTAAGTGAATTTTTTGTCTGCTTGATCTTGTAGCTATTGACAAATGTGTGTTAGTCTCCCACGTGATTACGGATTTGTCTGTATCATCTGTTAGTCTTGGATATTTTTGCTTTATATATTTTTAAGCTTTGTTGTTGGGTCCATTGAGGTTTAGAATTAGGGTATCTTCTTGTTGGTATGACTTTTTAATTATTAAGAAATATCTTGCCTTGTCTACTTTGATATTGGCATAACTATGCTAGCTTCTTTTTAATTGATTTTTTTGTGGTATATCTTTTCTCATCATTTTATATTTACTCTTTCTGTGTCCATAAATAGTCTTTTAGTAGAGTATTTAACATAATAACAGATATAATTTAAGTTTAAAGCTACCAACATACTATTTATTTTATATTTTATCCGCAGGTACCGTGCTTTTTCTCTCACTTCTTACCTTCTTTGGTTCAGTCAGATATTTTAATCATTCTTTTTCTCACCTCAGTTAGCTTTTAATGGCTATCCTAGAAATTACTACATGAATTTTGAGTTGTTGCAGTCTAGTGTAAATTATTACTTCTGCCACTTCCTGCACAATGTAGACAGATATCTTGGACACTTTAACTTCGTTTACCCCACTCCTCACTTTTCTGTCATTGTCGTTATGCATTTAAAATCTCTATATATTTTAAACTTAACAAATTAGTAATGTTATATTTTTTTACAATTATAGTTCATTCATATTTGCCAATATACTTACTTTTCTATGGCTCTTCCTTTTTGCATTTCTGTTTTTTTCTAGTATTATTTTCCTTCTGTTGGAAGAACTCCCTTTTAGTATTTCTTTTACTGATACATTCCTTGTTTTTGTTCTGAAATCACCTTTATTTCATTTTCATTTTTCAAAACATTTAAAACTGTGAATAGATTTCTTGATTAGCACCTCTTTTCTTTCAAAAATTTTAAGCAGTCATTCCATTGTCTTGTGCCATTCAGCATTTCTATTCAAAGTTATCGCTCAGTCTGTTGATTGTTGCTTCTTTCAGTGTGTTTATTTTTTCCCTAGCTGCTTAAAGATGTGGCTTTATGTCTCATCAGTGTTAGGAAATTCTTGATTGTTGTCACTTCATATAACGTTTCTTTCTTATTTTTTCTTTCTTTTTTTCTGGGATTTCAATGATATGTATGTGAGAACCTTTCAAAGGATTCCATATGCCTCTCATACACTTCTGTAGTTTTCAACCTTTAATTTCTCTGTGCTTTGGTTTGGAGATTTTCTGTTAACCTCTGTTCTAATTCACATTTGCTCTGTTCAGTCTGCTGCAGGTGCCGAGTACTGACACTTGGGAAATTTTGCTGTGCGTAGCAAGGATATAGGAGCAGTAATTGGTCCTTGTGGGAGTACAGAGAGGGGCTTACTTACTTGTTTTTGGTTAGGACGTACTAGCATGTTTATGTTATGACTGGAATGATTCAGTAGAGAGAAAAAAATTAAAGCTGCGTGAGAGAGAAAAGGAAGATGACTTTTAGATAAAAGTTCTTGAGGTGAGAGAGGACATAATCCAAAGCAGTCAGCAGGATTTTCCTTTGATAGGAGCGGGACATAAAGAGGTTAGTAGTATATCTGTATACTGATGTACTCATGTATATTAGTAGTCTCATGAGATGGAATTCTGGCTTGACCAATGGGAAATAGGCATCCGTTCTTAAGTTCTGAACTCTTAAACTTTGGGTGTGTGTATTGAGCATATGGGACAATTGTCCAAGAAATGGAGAGCTTGGTGGAAGGGTAAACTGTATTTATAGCAACCTAATTGTTTTCTATTTCTGTGTACCCTCAGTGATGTCTACCTTTGTCTCTTAGGGTACTCAAAGTATTATAGTATATTTTTAAGAAACAACATAAATGTTTAATTAAATTAAATTATTTAAATAAATGTTTCTCTCATGTAGTTAAAATTTCTGTACTATATATTTAAACAGAGTAGTTAATTCCTTATAGCACATTTAAAATTAATTCTTAATAGTATTTTGAATAGAAAACCAAGTTTTCTAACGTTTTCCCACATTTTCTTTTACAGTTTTGTGAATACTAGAATAGCACAACCATGTTTCGGAATAGTCTCAAGATGCTTCTTACTGGAGGGAAATCAAGTCGTAAGAATAGATCAAGTGGTGAGTGACTCTGCTACATTTATTCTGTGTGATGTTTTAGAAAAGAAAGTTTTCTTAGGGATCTGAATTAGTGCTACAACACTTTATATATTTATTAAATAGCTTATTTAATTTAGAAAAAAAGAAAGTGTACATTCCTATAGGCTGTCAGACTCTTTATTAAGAGGAACACTTGATGAACACTCATCAGGAATAGTCAGGTAAAGGAAGAGTTAATGAAAGAAAAATATTTATTTCTGATATATGAGGGTATAATGCTTCTGTGAACTATGTATTAAAGACTTTCTAGACCTAAATTTACTTTTGAATTAACATGTAAAATTATTTCAGTCCTAGATACTCTTTGGGGAATGAGACTAAAAATAATAGAAACTGTCCTCAAAGGGTTATACAGAAAGTGAAATATAAGTTGAACATTTTTCTAGTCATTAAAATAAAGATTTTTTAAAAATAACAAGAGTGTAATTCTTAGGCTTTTAAGGTAAAAACAAACCAAAACTGTATAGATACTTTTTTGGGAGAAATGTTGAAGATTAATGTACTAAATGTATGTTTTCTGCAAATGGGTTGTTGGTATTTATCATATTCTTTTCTTTAATTGAAGTATAGTTGATTTACAATATTGTGTTAGTTTCAGGTGTGCATCATAGTGATTCAGTATTTTTTCAGGTTATATTCCATTATAGGTTATTATAAGATAATGGGTATAATCCCCTGGGCTATACAGTATGTCCTTGTTGCTATTATATCCTTTTAATCTTTTCAATTTCCTAATTTTTATGTATTTTACAAGTTTTCATAAGTAGTATGTTCATTATCATTCTCTTCAAATGTTTTTTAGCTCTCTTTGTGATTTCTTCTTGATCCATAGGTATTTAAAGTATAATTGTTAATTTCCAAACAGTTGATGATTTCCTGGTTATCTTATTATTAACTTACCTTATTTGTACTCTTATCAGAGAACCTATCCTGTATTTTATTCTTTTCATATTTATTGAGATTTCCCTTACAGCTCAGCATATGATCAATTTAGTCTAATGTTCTAGATGCACCAAATAATGTGGATTCTGCAGTTGTTGGGTGTAGTGTGGGTCAGTTTTTGTTAATGGTAGTCCTCAAACGTTTTATATTCTAACTTATTTTTTTTAAATTATTTACTGAGAAAGGTGTGATTAAATCTCACACTATGATTGTAGAATTGTCTGTATTTGAAAGATATCTTATTAGATGCATTGAAATTTAGACTTACTATATCTTCCTGGTGAATTAACTGTTTTACCATAACAAAATGTCCCTCTATATATATATATATTTTTTGGCGGTACGCAGGCCTCTCACTGTTGTGGCCTCTCCCATTGCGGAGCATAGGCTCTGGACACGCAGGCTCAGCGGCCATGGCTCATGGGCCCAGCTGCTCTGTGGCATGTGGGATCTTCCCAGACCGGCGCACGAACCCGTGTTCCCTGCATCGGCAGGCGGACTCTCAATCACTGCGCCACCAGGGAAGCCCTGGATTTTTAATAATGCCTTTTGTTTGAAAGTTGATTTTGTCTAATGTTAGTATAGCTGTACTAGCTTTCTTTTGATTAGTATTTATAAGGTATAATTTGTTCCATTCTTTTATTTTCAACATATATATATGTTTATACTGTTAATAGCACATAGTTGAATTTTCCTTTTTTATTCATTCAGACAAGTTTTTCTCTTAAGGGAGATGTTGGTTCGTCTATAGTAATTCAACCAGTGATATATTTGGGTTTAAATATAACATATTGCTGTGTGTTTTGTGCTTGTCCTGACTGTTCTGTGCTTTTTCTCTCTCCTGTATTGCTTTATTTTGGATTGATCAAAAGATTTTTTATATTCCATATCTCTCCTTATTGACTTGGAGATTATATACTCTTATAATTCATTCAGTGGTTAGCTTAAAGATTAAAACATCAATCAAAGTTTGGTATCAATTTGTACTTTTACCCACTTCCTGGACAATGGAAGAGCCTTAGAATCTTTTCACCTATATTTATTTAAATGCCACAAGACATTATTATTGTTTTATGTAGTCACTGTTGTTTGGGTTTATTCATGTATTTGACATTTTTATTGATATTTGTTCCCTCCTGCTTCCTTCACTTTCTAGATGGGATCACCAAATTTCTTTTTGTTTGTAGAACACCCTTTAAAATTTCCTTTAGTTGGGATCTTGATGTGGTGATTTTACTTTGCGTTTAGTTATCTGAAAGTGTCTTTATTTTGCCTTTATTTTTTGTAGGATGTTTTTGCTGGGAGTGGAATTATAGGTTGGCAGTTATTTTCTTTCAGCACTTTGAAATATTGTTCATTGTCTTCTGGCTTCTTGAATTATTTCTGGTGAAAAGTCAACTGTCTAATTGCTCCCTCTTTAAAGGCAATCTGATGTTTTTCTTTTTTGTTTTTAGTTTTCTACATTTACATTGATGTGCCTAGGAGTGGTTTTCTTTTTAAACTGTCTTTGTTTCTCTTCTATTTATTTATGTTTGTAGGGTTTTTTGAATCTGTGGCTTGATGAGTTTCATCAGTTTTGGAAAGCTATTACTCATTATCTCTTCAAATTTTATTTTTTTCCCCTTTTTCTCTTTCTCCTTTCTTTCTAGGACTCCAGTTATGCATTTGATAGACTACATGCATGTCATCTATGTCTCTTACACTCTCTTTCTATCCTTTTGTCTCTATATACTTTATGCTGGATATTTTCTTTTTATCTATCTTATAGTTCACTGATTCACTTTCCATTGGTATATAATCTGTTCTTAACCACATTCAGTTCTTAATTTTAGTTTTTGTATATTTCAGTTCTAGAACTTCCATTTGCTTTTTAAATTTTTTTTTAATTTGGAAATAACTTTTTTTAATTAATTTTTTTTGGCTACGCCGTGTGGCTTGTGGGATCCTTGTTCCCCGAACAGGGATTGAACCCAGGCCCTTGGCAGTGAAAGCACAGAGTGCTAACCACTGGACCTCCAGGGAATTCCCAAAATTTGGAAATAATTTTGAGCTTACTGAAAGGTTGCAGCAGTAGTACAAAGAACTCCATATACCCTTGCACAGATTCATGAACTTTTCACCGCACTTGTTTCATCATTCTCTCTCTATAAGTACACATGCACAGTGTCTCCATTTCTCCCCTACTTCACCCTTTCTCTCTCACTCACTCTTTTTTAAATCACTTGAGGGTGGGTTAAATACATCATGCCCCTTTACTCCTAAAAATTTCAACGGGTATTTCTTAAGGAAATTCTTTTTTATACCACAGTCCAGTTATCAACCTCAGGCAGTTTAAGATTGATATAATACTTTTATCCAATCTACCATCTATTCTCCAAATTTTGTCAGTTTACCTAGTAACTTTTAAAAAAAGAATTTTCCCTCTTCCTTTCCAAGATCCAGTCTAGAATAAGGTATTATATTACTTGTTATGTCTTTTTACTCTCATTTAATTCAAAACAGTTTCTCAGCCTTTCTTGACTTGCTTGATGAATAACTAGAATGCTCCTAATTTTATATTTGTTCTGATTTTTTTTAATGATTAGATTCAGGGTATGTTTCTGTGGTCTGAATGTTACATATGTTCTTTTCTTTTTGGGTTATCACAGCTGGAGGCACATAATGTCCATCTGTCACTCATTAGTGATTTTGATGACCAAATCAGTGTACTGTCCAGTTTCTCTGCTATGTAGATACTAATTTTCCCCTTTCAACTTAAAAACAGTCTGCAGGTAGACACCATTAGGTTTTTATTTTTTTCTGTTCTTTGTCAGTACTATTCTCAATCTTGTCTCTTATCTTTTATAAATATAGACCTACTATATTTATATCTATATTTTTTTGTCTAACTCTAAATGTGTCTGTTTCATTGATTTTTACTAATATAATTTTATTTCCTCCTATTCCTCTTTTTTTTTTTCCATGAACTTTTCATTTTGGGTTAATTTTAGTTTTACAGAAAAGTTGCAAAGATAGTACAGAGAATTCCTGTATATCCTTTACCTAATTTTCCCAACTGTTACATCTTATATTACCATGGTGCATTTGTCAAAACTAAGAAACCAACATTGGTATATTGCTGTTAATTAAACTCCACACTTTTATTTGGATTTCATTAGCTTTTTCATTAAACTCCTCATTGTGTTCCAGAATTGAATCCAGAGAACTACATTACATTTAGGTATTGCATCTCCCCAGACATTAACTGGATTTAGCAGAAGACAAATAATAGTTGATGTCACCCCACTGGTCACTTTTTGAAAGACACACACACACAGTAACTCATACATGTCAGAGATCCAAGCTGCCTCCACATTTGTCACTTAAAGAAATGGTTTATCCAAAATTTATTTTCTGGTCAAGAACTATGATTTCCTTAGACACCTACAGTTGTTTACTTTTGACACCAGGAGTAGGATTTTCTGTCACTTCACAACAACTAATCCATATAAAATAACTAGTAGAAAACAGTAAAGCCATATTAAGATGCAGATGCTGGGTAGACTTTTTGCCCTGAGTACCAGGTGTGATTTATTTCCACATACTACCCTTATTAGAGGTAGGCACCAAATTTGTGCTTTAGCAAAATTACAAATTATTGTATCCTAGACTTCTGAGTAACTACTGCTTTAGTAGCAATCATATTATTAAATCCATATATGTCAAGGTTCTACTGTATTATTAAAGCTTATTATTTTGATTTACTAGGTATTTAATTATGTCAGTAATGATTTCGGGGGGTCTTATTCTAGTGTTTATTCTTCTCCATGGCTTTTCATGTAAAATGTTTATAATTTAGAGTAGTTGTAAGTTAGAGTAGTTATAAAAATAGTGATTTGTATTCTATATGGCAAGAATTTATAGAGAAGCAGTATATTTTTTCAAATGTTCTCTAGGACAAGAATTCCAAAGCAAGAATAAATTTGATATTAAAAGAAAGAGTGTGTTTATGGGATGATATCATTAATGTTTTCATCATT